GCGCACAGAGCAGTCGCGCAGCGCTCGTCGCGGGAGTCGTGGGGGGCTGGAGTCGTGGGGGGCTGGAGTCGTGGGGGGCCGCGGAGCGATGAGCGTCGGGACCAGGGGGGCGCCGGGAGCCGGGGAGGGGAGCGGGGAGAAGATCTCCCGCGGGGACAGGAGGCGGCAAGGGAGACTCGTGCCTCAGTGGGGCCTGGGTCTATGGTGTGTGTGTCACTCATACACAGTGTGGTGTGTGTGTCATTTACAGTGTGGTGTGTGTGTCACTCATACACAGTGTGGTGTGTGTGTGTCACTCATACACAGTGCGGTGTGTGTGTCATGTACAGTGTGGTGTGTGTGTCACTCATACACAGTGTGGTGTGTGTGTCATGTACAGTGTGGTGTGTGTGTCACTCATACACAGTGTGGCGTGTGTGTCATGTACAGTGTGGTGTGTGTGTCATGTACAGTGTGGTGTGTGTCACTCATACACAGTGTGGTGTGTGTGTCATGTACAGTGTGGTGTGTGTGTCACTCATACACAGTGTGGTGTGTGTGTCATGTACAGTGTGGTGTGTGTGTCACTCATACACAGTGTGGTGTGTGTGTCACTCATACACAGTGTGGTGTGTGTATGTCACTCATACACAGTGTGGTGTGTGTGTCATGTACAGTGTGGTGTGTGTGTCACTCATACACAGTGTGGTGTGTGTGTCATGTACAGTGTGGTGTGTGTGTCACTCATACACAGTGTGGTGTGTGTGTCATGTACAGTGTGGTGTGTGTGTCACTCATACACAGTGTGGTGTGTGTGTCATGTACAGTGTGGTGTGTGTGTCACTCATACACAGTGTGGTGTGTGTGTCACTCATACACAGTGTGGTGTGTGTGTCATGTACAGTGTGGTGTGTGTGTCATGTACAGTGTGGTGTGTGTGTCACTCATACACAGTGTGGCGTGTGTGTCATGTACAGTGTGGTGTGTGTGTCACTCATACACAGTGTGGTGTGTGTGTCACTCATACACAGTGTGGTGTGTGTGTCATGTACAGTGTGGTGTGTGTGTCACTCATACACAGTGTGGTGTGTGTGTCATGTACAGTGTGGTGTGTGTGTCACTCATACACAGTGTGGTGTGTGTGTGTCATGTACAGTGTGGTGTGTGTGTCACTCATACACAGTGTGGTGTGTGTGTCATGTACAGTGTGGTGTGTGTGTCACTCATACACAGGTGTGGGTGTGTGTCATGTACAGTGTGGTGTGTGTGTCACTCATACACAGTGTGGTGTGTGTGTCACTCAGTACACAGTGTGGTGTGTGTGTCATCATACAGTGTGGTGTGTGTGTCACTCATACACAGTGTGGTGTGTGTGTCATGTACAGTGTGGTGTGTGTGTCACTCATACACAGTGTGGTGTGTGTGTCATGTACAGTGTGGTGTGTGTGTCACTCATACACAGTGTGGTGTGTGTGTCATGTACAGTGTGGTGTGTGTGTCACTCATACACAGTGTGGTTGTGTGTCTGTACAGGTGGTGTGTGTCACTCATACACAGTGTGGTGTGTGTGTCATGTACAGTGTGGTGTGTGTGTCACTCATACACAGTGTGGTGTGTGTGTCATGTACAGTGTGGTGTGTGTGTCACTCATACACAGTGTGGTGTGTGTCACTCATACACAGTGTGGGGTGTGTGTCATGTACAGTGTGGTGTGTGTGTCACTCATACACAGTGTGGTGTGTGTGTCATGTACAGTGTGGTGTGTGTGTGTCACTCATGCACAGTGTGGTGTGTGTGTCATGTACAGTGTGGTGTGTGTGTCACTCATACACAGTGTGGTGTGTGTGTCATGTACAGTGTGGTGTGTGTGTCACTCATACACCGTGTGGTGTGTGTGTCATGTACAGTGTGGTGTGTGTGTCACTCATACACAGTGTGGTGTGTGTGTCATGTACAGTGTGGTGTGTGTGTCACTCATACACAGTGTGGCGTGTGTGTGTCACTCATACACCGTGTGGTGTGTGTGTCATGTACAGTGTGGTGTGTGTGTCACTCATACACAGTGTGGTGTGTGTGTCACTCATAGACAGTGTGGTGTGTGTGTCACTCATACACAGTGTGGTGTGTGTGTGTGTCACTCGTACACAGTGTGGTGTGTGTGTGTGTCACTCATATACAGTGTGGTGTGTGTGTGTCACTCATACACAGTGTGGTGTGTGTGTGTCACTCATGTAGAGTCTACGGTGTGTGTCTCTCACAGTGTGGTGTGTGTGTCACTCATACACAGTGTGGTGTGTGTCACTCATGTAAAGTCTACGGTGTGTGTGTGTGTCACTCATGTAGAGTCTACGGTTTGTGTCTCTCACAGTGTGGTGTGTGTCACTCATACACAGTGTGGTGTGTGTGTCACTCATACACAGTGTGGTGTGTGTGTGTCACTCATGTAGAGTCTACGGTGTGTGTGTGTGTGTCACTCATGTAGAGTCTACGGTGTGTGTCTCTCACAGTGTGGTGTGTGTCACTCATACACAGTGTGGTGTGTGTGTCACTCATACACAGTGTGGTGTGTGTCTCTCACAGTGTGGTGTGTGTGTCACTCATATAGAGTCTACGGTGTGTGTGTGTCACTCATGTAGAGTCTACGGTGTGTGTCTCTCACAGTGTGGTGTGTGTGTGTCACTCATACACAGTGTGGTGTGTGTGTCACTCATGCACAGTGTGGTGTGTGTCTCTCACAGTGTGGTGTGTGTGTCACTCATACACAGTGTGGTGTGTGTGTCACTCATACACAGTGTGGTGTGTGTGTCACTCATACATAGTGTGGTGTGTGTCTCTCACAGTGTGGTGTGTGTGTGTCACTCATACACAGTGTGGTGTGTGTGTCACTCATACATAGTGTGGTGTGTGTCTCTCACAGTGTGGTGTGTGTGTCACTCATACACAGTGTGGTGTGTGTGTGTCACTCATACATAGTGTGGTGTGTGTCTCTCACAGTGTGGTGTGTGTGTCACTCATACACAGTGTGGTGTGTGTGTGTCACTCATACACAGTGTGGTGTGTGTGTGTGTCACTCATGTAGAGTCTACGGTGTGTGTGTCTCTCACAGTGTGGTGTGTGTGTCACTCATACACAGTGTGGTGTGTGTGTCACTCATGTAGAGTCTACGGTGTGTGTCTCTCACAGTGTGGTGTGTGTGTCACTCATACACAGTGTGGTGTGTGTGTCACTCATGTAGAGTCTACGGTGTGTGTCTCTCACAGTGTGGTGTGTGTGTCACTCATACACAGTGTGGTGTGTGTGTGTCACTCATGTAGAGTCTACGGTGTGTGTTTCTCACAGTGTGGTGTGTGTGTCACTCATACACAGTGCAGTCCCTCCAGAAAAACGCGGAGTTTTTTGGTGATTGTTGCGGGCAAAAATCGTTGATTATGCGGCACGTTTTCTTAAAAAATGCGATGGAATATGCGGGATATTTATGCAATTTTATGCGATAAAATTGCGGGAACTTGCAAAAACTGCGGTTTGATGAAAAAGAGAAAAAAAAGTGATTCCCCCAACACCCTATTCACTAGGCTACTACTTTAATGTAAAGAGTCATTTCTTATTACTTCCTATGATAAGCAAGCATACTACATCACAGAAAGTGCTGGGAATATTTAAGTTCTCATCTTGTTTTATTTCAGACCTTAACAAACAGATGGCTCAAACTTACAAAACATTGAGTCGAACAAGTTCTGTAGCTTTACTAAATGAATATGCTACAACTTCTGTAAAAATGAATAAATAAAATATTAAAAAATAAAATGTGTGCTTCCTGTTTTACAGAGGTAGCTATACAAAACAGACATCTTCTGTTAAAATAAGTGTTTTCAGTGCACAGTAACGTAAGCAATACAGTAACAGTACAGTCTTACAGTAATGTAAATTTACATACTACTAACAAAAAAGTGCAATCTTACAACTGTAAAGTTGCATAAACTCCTGAATAAAACTAACTACGTAGCCTCTAACACTTCATAACGTTCCCATGGCAACAGGGGAAATGGCTGCGCTTGTGTGAAGTAAACGCAACATTTTTCAACTTTCTGCTAAGATATATGTGACTTTTTGCAACGAAAATGCGGGGATTATGAAATCATGCAAGCCCGCATATTTTGCGCGCGGAAATCTGCAATTTATGCGGCGAAAATGCGGCGTATTTGAAAAAACGCGCCCCCCGCATAAATATGCGGACTTTGGCTGATTTTGCGTGGAATCTTGCGATCGCATAATCGCGTTTTTCTGGAGGGACTGACAGTGTGGTGTGTGTGTCACTCATACACAGTGTGGTGTGTGTGTCACTCATGTAGAGTCTACGGTGTGTGTCTCTCACAGTGTGGTGTGTGTGTCACTCATACACAGTGTGGTGTGTGTGTCACTCATGTAGAGTCTACGGTGTGTGTCTCTCACAGTGTGGTGTGTGTGTCACTCATACACAGTGTGGTGTGTGTGTCACTCATACACAGTGTGGTGTGTGTGTCACTCATGTAGAGTCTACGGTGTGTGTCTCTCACAGTGTGGTGTGTGTGTCACTCATACACAGCCTTTTGTGTGTGTCATGTACAGTGTGGTGTGTGTCATGTACAGTGTGGTGTGTGTCATGTACAGTGTGGTGTGTGCGTCATGTACAGTGTGGTGTGTGTGTGTATTTGTTGTTGTATTTGTTGTTTATTTGTTGCGCACTCGCCGTGGCCGCTAGCGGACGGCGTGGGAAGCCGCCGGGGTGGGGGCGGGGGGACCTCGGGGGGTGGGGGGGGGTCTCACCCCGCCCCTCCTTACAAGGACAAATTTCACCCGTCGCGGGCTCGCGGCGCGCAGGAATGCGACCGCCCCGGTCGGTGTGGCACTTCTACTGGGGCCGCTCTCCTGGCCCGGCGCCTTCTCTTCGCCTCGCACCTCGGCGACCCACCCCGCCCCCACCCCGCGACGTCGCGACGAATTTTCCTCCTCCTCCTCCTCCTCCCGCGCCGGGACCCCCGCGGGGGTTGGTGCGCGGCAGAGGCCCCGAGGGCGAAGTTGGCCAAAGTCGTCGCGCGGAACTCGGCTCAGGAAGGGCGCAAGAGGGAGCCATCAGCACCCCGCCCCCCGCCCCCATTTTAGTGGGCGCGGTCATTTCCGCGCGGTTCTTTATTTTGTTTTGCGCAACTCGTCACACAGGTGATGGTGATGGGGGGATGCTGTTGATGGGTGGTGGTGGTGGTGATGATGAAATGGGGCCGGTGTTGATGTTGACGCTGGGCGAGCGAGGGGGGGCGGCTTTAAAACTCGGCAGCGCGCGGCGCTGACCAGTGAGCAGCGGCAGCAGCAGCCGCAGCTGCTGGTCCGACTTGAACTTGTCACCGCACCGTGGAGTTGGCGCTAAGTGTCCCTCTCCCCCCGCCCCTCCCGTCTCTCTCCCTCGTGCGCTTGACCGCGATTGCACCCCCCCCCCCCCACAGGCGCCCCGAGATCCGCCGTCCCGCGGGGCCGGGCGGCAACATGGATGGCCTCGTGTCGCTCTTCATGCCGCGCAACCTGAGCTACATCTCGGGCCTGTACGAGAACGCGCGCCTCGCCGACGACTTCGGCGTCGCCGCGGCGGGACAGGGCCAGGACGGGGGGCACGGGGGGCCGGGCGAGGCCGCGGGGCACGACTCCGCGAGGCCGCGGGGTAGGAAGCAGCTGCGGTCCGAAGACCTCTCCCTGTCCGCCCTCGTCATCTGCGAGCCGCGCGACCCCCCCGACGCGTTCGCTCCGACGCCGCCGCCGTTCGCTCCGACGCCCATCGTGCGCCGCCGCGCCAAGTCGCTGCCGTCCGTGCCGGGCCGCCCCGCGCCCCCCGAGCCGCCGTGCCGCCGCCGCAAGTCGGTGCGCTTCTCTGACTCCCTGGGGCTGGAGCTCTCGGTCGTGCGCCACTTCAGCTCGTGCGAGGAGCCCCGCGTGCCGCCGCACGTGCTCGAGTCCCTGCACCGCGGGGCGCTCTCGCGCTTCGCTCGCCTCGACGCCTGGGACGGCGCCGGCGGCTGCTGCGGCCGCTGCGGCCCGGGGGGAGAGGGAGGAGGGGGGGGGCTGTCGGCGGCCGAACCCTTGCGCCGCACGCGCCTCGAGGCCGCGTTCGCGCGGCCGCTGGGCGACCCCGAGTTCGCGTCTCGGCTGCGCGCTCAGCTGGTGCTCCTCGAGTCGGTGACGCCCGGCGAGCTGAGCGTGACGGGCCACGTGCGCGTCCTCGACGTGGCCTTCGAGAAGGAGGTGTCCGTGCGCTTCTCCTACGACGCGTGGAGCACGCACGCGGAGGCGCGCGCCCGCTACGCCCCCCCCGGGCTCGCCGAGCCGAGTCCCGCGCCGGGCACGGACCGCTTCGCGTTCGCGCTGCCCACGCCGCCCTTCCTGCGGCCGGGCGGCGCGCTCGAGTTCGCGGTGCGGTACCGCGTGGCGGGGCGCGACCACTGGGACAACAACGGGGGCCGCAACTACCGCCTGGAGGTGCGCAGCGAGCTCCTGGGGCCGCCACCGCGGGAGCTCGACCGCAGCTGGATCCACTTCGTGTGACGCGGTGGGTTGGGGGGTGGGGGAGGGGGGGGTCTTTTCACCCCCCCCCCCACCCCGCGTTGTCCCGTGAGACCCATGGGGGTGGCGAGCTCGTCCCGTCGCGCCGTGAAGCTCTCCTCCACCCCCAAGTGCCTTGCCGACATTCACGTCAGCCGGCCTCTGCCCTCGTCAAGAGGTTCAGTTTGTCGTGTCCGGCACCCGGCTCACCACATCCAGTATGCCGCTCTGGATAGCTGCGGCACGTGCTGCCTACTCCGGTCCACCAGCGACGTGGAAAATATTCCTGTGAAACCCCCCCCCCCCCCCCCGCCCCGTGCTTCACCAAACACAACAGCCGCATGCACCTGCCTGCTGTACACACCTGTATAGCCTAATGCCTTACCTGTGTACAGTGATACACCCGCCTCAGACACGTGTCGACCTTGCCTACCTGATGCACGCGTGTCTAATGACACATCTGTCGAACAAATACACCTGTTCATCTTGACACACCTGCAGGACACATCCTTATACTTGACAAACCTGCTTGGCACAATCTACCTACTGACTCATCTGCCTGGCACAACCTACCTACTGACTCATCTGCCTGGCACACCTTTGAACCTGACACGCCCAACAGACTTTGTCTGCATGCCACGCGACGGACCGTGAAGGTCAATAGACGTCGGCCGTGCAACTGCTGCGGGATCTGGCAGAAGGAAGGAAGCGATTTGCGAGGTGTGGTGGTGGTTGTGGTGGTGGTGGTTGTGGTGGTGGTGGTTTTGGTGGTGGTGGTTGTCGGTGGCGGTATCGATCGCAATGGGCCGCCATCAACGGAGCTGCTGATGAGTTTTTGCGAACGTCGAAGCCAGTCACGTGGAGTCACGCACAAAGCCACCGCGGTCACGTTGCTGCCTGGGGGGTGGGGGGGGCGATGTCGCGAACTGTCACGAAATGTCGCGCTTGTGAACACCAGCGAGGGTCGAGGAGGGGGGCGGGGTCACTGGGGTGCGAATCCAGGGGTCTGGGGGGGGGGGCCCTCTCGCTCCTCCGAGGGGGCGTCCGGCTTTCTGTTCGGCTCGTGTAGATACAGGACATTGAGAGAGACGTTGACTGCATACACACGCATACTGTGCTGTGTAAGTTATAGATTTTAATTGCTTGCATATTGCGGTGACGTATTTGCTATGCGTGTGTGTATCTGAGTGTATTCACGGCCAACACCCGTGACGATTATCTTAACCGGCCCTGAGCCTCCCGTAGGTCGACTCAGCCTCAAATGAGTACCTGGTGCGATGTGTAAACATCACCACTGGGGACACAAAGGCGTTCGGGCGTGGTGCTGGCCACCCACCCTGTGCCGGCCTTCATAGGTGTTCACGAAGGGCACTTGCCCCAAAAGTTAGTTAAGGCTATACGGGGGTCTTTGTATCTGTGTGTATACGAGGAGCGGTAGTGCAGCGGTTAGCGCACTGCGCTACGAATCCAGCGACCGGTTCTTGATTCCCGCTCACGGCCACCAATAGCAGTGACGATTTTCTGAATCAGTCCTGGGCCTCCTCTAGGTTCGCTCAGCCTTCTATGAGTGTCCGGTGAAGTGTGTAAACATTGGCACTGGGGAGACAAAGGCGGCCGGGCACTTTGCTGGCCACCGCCCCTGTCTCGTGCGCCGTGGATGATTTAATAGGTTCTCGCTAACAGCCTGTGGAAGGCTATACGGGGGTCGCTGTCTGTGTGTCTGTCTGTGTGTGTCTGTCTATGTGTGTCTGTGTGTGTCAGGCCATGTGCACCTTGAGTAGTAGTAGTGGTGACGTCACCGCCACTTAGTGGCGAATGGCGGTTGTTGTTGTTGTCTGTGTCACTCGACACCATGGGCCCCTTCTCGGGGGATGCTCCCAGGTGAGAGGTTTGAGCTGAGATGCCGCGGCGCCGTCGCCACTTGGGATCGTGTTTGGAGTCGAGTCGCCGTGTGCGAGTGTGCGTTGTCCAACACGGACGGGGTTTGTGCATTAAACGCTGATGATCCCTAAACCATGAACGCCGTGTGGCCGCCGCCCCGTGCTTCTGGGTTTTACACAATTTGCATGGCGCTACGGACGCGTGCGCCAAGACCGTTGGATGGATGAGCTCATATTTTCACCACTGGGTGATGGAGAGTCGATGCTACTGGTGGCGCTCGTGGTGGTGCTGCTGACGATGACGGTTGCTGGCGGCGACAGACGTTATAGTCTCGGTCTCTTGACGAGGTTTCGTGCACTTGGCGCTATCGGCATCGTGTCGTGGAACGACGACAAGTCCATCGGGAACTTTCACAGAGCCGTGCACCCGCTCTTGTTAGAGAACTATTTTGAATGTTTTGTTATCTTACCAGGTTAGGACCCACCGAGCCATATAGCTCTTTTTCATAGCCACCTGGCCACAAATGAATGCCCACAAATGATAGCGCATGTGGAAATGTATAGCAGCCAGATGCTGTAAACGCGTGATGTTGATACTAAATGTGGAGGGGAAAAACGAGAGGACCCGGATAAAAATCCACGCGACCACGGGGAGAGAGACACGCAAATTACTAATTTACAGCAGGAGTCAGGGTCGGGATCGAACCTACGACATCCTGCATACCAGGCGAGGTAGTTAACCTCTCCACCACGCGGCGTCCCGGAAGAGGTTGTCACAGAGCGTCTTCCGAACTCCAAAGTGACTTCTTATCCACGAACATTAGGGTACGGTACCACCTCACCTGGTCCGAAATGACGGCCAGCCCGATGTTTTAAATGCTGACCGCTGGACTTGATACCACGGTGAATGAGATGCGAGGTGATTGGACTTTGTGTGCAGTCCTGGTTGACTGTCACGGGCGACTGCATCCCGGACACGAACCCAGGTCTCTGCGGTGGTGGCTACGCTGCTGCACGTGGCTGCCTGTGGTAATCCAGCGCTGTGGAGGCAGCAGAGGAGGGTTGGTGGATCAGCGCAGAGATGTTGTTAAACTCCCTTCTCGTGGGCGTCGATGAGGCACCGTACCCTGGCTGGCCAGGAGAAGGCGGTACAGCAAATCGACTCATCACCATCGGTTTCCATTTGTGCGGGGATCGAGTATTGCCCCCTCGCCGGCGTGGGGTTTCTCTCACGTGTATAATAAACACAACTCATCATTAATTGGTTGAAGACATCTTCAAATATGAATCCAATGTAGCAGCAGGAGCCTCCTGAAGAAGAATGTTACGACTCGGTGTGTGTTTCTGGAATATGAAGTGAGTTATTATTATTCATCTCGGGCCCCTGGGCCACCCGCCACCTCGGCGCACTCCGCACTGACCAGCAAACACTCATTACTCGGGCGCCCCAGTGGACAAATATTAACTCCCTCACCTGGTACGCAGGAGGTCGTGGGTTCCATCCAAACCTGACGCCTGCTGTATATTTGAAGCGTGCGTGTTCTCCCTGTGATCGCATTGTTTTTTCTCGAGGTTTTCTCTCCAGATTTAGAATCAACGTGCTTTTAGAGTATTTGGCTGCTATACATTTCTGCACGATATGCCACTTTCATTTGTGGTCAGGTGGCTTCTGGAAAATAGCTCAGTGGGGCAATACCTGGTGAAATAAAACAAATAGTTTAGTTTATAGTTTCGTTTCATTTGCGCTTCTCGACAGCTACTGCTGGCATTGAGAACCCCGATCTGGGCCGATACGGGCCAGCCGTGAGACCCGTACTGCACCGCTGGCATGGAAAGCCTCACTCAGTCTCAAGACTCTTCTAAGGAGGGTTCCTGCATTGGGATGTTTGACCAATTCCTCCATCACGAGTGATTGACTCCCTGTGAGAGGAGCACCGGAGAACTCGGAGAAGAACCCCAGGGGGTTGACGCACAGACGGGTTCACGAGCCCACTTGGTATGCAGTGCAGTTACCACCACCTCGTGCACAAGCCTCCTCCACACGCTGCCCAGCGGGTTGTGTGACTCTCATACATGTCGAAGTGAGCCACCAAACCTTGAGAAACATCGACACACTGTCACACGGACGGTATTCATTCACAGGCAGAGGCAAGGACAGTGGAGAAGGTTCCAGTGTTGGTATTTTGGAGGGAGCAGGGGAGCTTGGGGAGTGGTGTTGATGTCAATGCTAAGGACATCACAGTCCGTCCCCAGCGCGTAATTTAAACTATTTTGTTTATTTTACCAAGTAAGGCCCACTAGCTCTTTTTCAGAAGCGACTTGACTATCACAAATTAGAGCTCAACGAAGTGGCCTCAGCAGCCAAATATACCCTGAACGAGTGGTGATGGTAATTCTGAATGTTGGAGGGACAAAAACGGAGGAACCCGGAGAAAAATCGTACGTGACCACGGGAAGAGAGGTACACGCATATTCCAAACATACAGCAGTCGTCAGGGTCGGGATCGAACCCACCACCTCCTGTAGACCAGGCGAGGGAGTTAATATCTCATAGCCACCGTGATGATGATAGAGACACGCACATTCTAAATATACAGCAGGCGTCAGGGTCGGGATCGAACCCACGACCTCCTGTATACCAGGCGAGGGAGTTAACATCTCATAGCCACCGTGATGATGATGATAGAGAGGGATACGCAAACTCCAAATATACAGCAGGCGTCAGTCAGGGTCGGGATCGAACCCACGACCTCCTGTAGACCAGGCGAGGTAGTTAACATCTCCGAGCTACCGTGATGATGATGATAGAGACACGCAAATTCTAAATACACAGCAGGCGTCAGGGTCGGGATCGAACCCACGACCTCCTGTAGACCAGACGAGGGAGTTAACATCTCCTAGCCACCGTGATGATGATGATAGAGACACGCAAATTCTAAATACACAGCAGGCGTCAGGGTCGGGATCAAACCCACGACCTCCTGTAGACCAGGCGAGGGAGTTAACATCTAGCCACCGTGATGATGATGATAGAGAGGGATAGGCAAACTCCAAATATACAGCAGGCGTCAGTCAGGGTCGGGATCGAACCCACGACCTCCTGTAGACCAGGCGAGGTAGTTAACATCTCCTAGCCACCGAGGGAACCTCACGTCGCTGGTGCGGCTGCTGGCGAAACGGGATCTGCGGTGCGCGGCAGTGCTGACGTCGGCAGGCCACGAGAGACACGAGAGGGCGACATCTCGGGGGGAAGGGTCACAGAGACGGGCCCATCGGGACGCCTCGGGGGCGTGGCCGGGGCGGAGCGAGGCCACGCCCCCTGGGGGGACCTCGGGGCTGTCGCTGCTCAAGATCGTCGCTGTCGTCTCGTCGCCTTCGTCGCCGCCGTCTTCGCTCGACATTGCGAAGTTAGAAAGTTGTTGGCCGTCTCCGTCAGCGCCGTCGGCGTTAGACGGCTAGAGTTGTGTGTAGGCCGGCGACTGTAGAGTGTGCACACACGTTGTGTGTGTTGTCCCGATGGTGCTCGTCAAATAATGAAGTGCCTGCAAGTCTTCCTGTCTCCGAGTTCGTCACTACATCGACAAGATCCCCCGCATAGCCTGCGGCAAATGCTGTCAGCGAGCACCGCACACGAGGGGGTGGGAGGCCAGCACCACGCCCGGCCGCCTTTGTCTCCCCAGTGGTGATGTTTACGCACCGCACCAGGTACTCATTTAAGGCTGAGTCGACCTAGCGGAGGCCCAGGACCGGTTCAGGTAATCTTCACTGGTGTTTGCCGCGAGCTGAAATTAAACTCTGGTCGCCGGGTTCGGAGCGCATACACACCCCAAAACATAGAAAGACAAATATCGCCCGCATAGCCTTAACCGACTATTCAGGCAAGTGCTGTTAGCGAGCAACCAATACATAAACACGACAACAAACACAGACGCAGACACACACCGCGATAAGACGCACAAGTCATGGCAAACACAGGTCTCGACAGACACACGCTGTCGACATGTATGGCCTCGCTGGTTTACTACCGAAGTCGCCGGCTCCACGGTCTCGTGCCTGGTCTATGGTCGTCTCGGGTCGCCCATTATCGCGTTCACAATCTGGCGCTGGCCAGAGGTCGCAAACGGGTACCCGGCCGCACCAGGGTCGCAAACGGTTACCCGTACCCGGCCGTACCCGTACCCTACCCGTACCCGGCCGGGTACGGGTAAGGTACTGGTATCGGGTACCTGATTGCGACCTCTGGGATGAAGCCACGTTGCAGGCGCGGGTGGTTTGATTCTAGGAACTTGAATTGTGAGAAGAGACGACGTTGGGACATGAGTGACAAACGGTGACTCACCAGTGATTCACGGCCTACCCGTACCCGGCCGCGCCAGGGTCGCAAACGGGTACCCGTACCCGGCCGGGTACGGGTAGCCGGGTATCGGGTAGGGTACGGGTATCGGGTACCCGGTTGCGACCTCTGGCGCTGGCCTCGTGGCTCAGAGGGGAGGTGACTCGAAGTGAGGGCTCAGAGA